ACCAAATGAAGGGAGAACTTTGAGACTAGAGGTGGTTTTCTTCAAACTTGGTGGTGTTTCTGCTTTTGAGGTTTAGGGTTGTGTGGTTTCCCTCCACAAAAAGGGATTGAAAACAGAGAGGGGGCAGTTTAGCACCTTCCATGCTGGTGAAGAACCATCGGTGACACCACCAAGTGGGTGAGTCGGAGCAAAGGAGGTTCAGGGGAGAACTTCTGGCTCTGCCAACTCCCTGCCAGGAGCTTGGAGCCAGTTGGGCACTGAGATCTCATCCCCAAGGAACAATTTCTGCCCTTGGAGGGTTGCCCAGGGTTGTACCAGGGCAGTGGTGGAACCCCCACCCCAGACCCAAGCCATGGAGATGTGGTGCTGAAGGACACGGGTTGGTGAGGACCTGGCTGTGCTGGGGTCACACTTGGCCTTCAAGGATCTCCCAAGCTCTTTTGCAACCCCCAAACCCCTCTCTGAAGTCAATGAATTGTGAATTTTCTTACTTTTACTGCAAACTTGGGGCCTCCCCGTGCTGGCACCGGGGCTCTTTTCTTCTTGTTTTGCTCGATAGGAACAGGAGCATCTGGGAAGAGCTTCTCCAGGGCAGCCAGGGCAGCGTAGGCTTTGGCCACCTTCTTATTTGAGCCAGCTCCTTGGAATTTCTGCCCGTCAACCTCCACCTTGGAAAGGGAAGAAATCACTCAGCATCAGAAAAAAAGGGGCAGAAGAGAAAGATTTGGGAAAATGAACCATTTTTCATGCTGTCTGCTGACAATTCTACAAGTCTCAAGCGCTCCCAGGCGGGTTGGACAACTCTGGTGAAAACATCCTTCAATCCAAGAGTTATCCCAACGCAGCAGGTGAGGTTTTGGGTTTAAATTCTAAGGTTCTGGAGTGAAGCTGAAGGGCCTGGGGAAGGCAGCAGGAGGTTCCTCACCTCCATGACGAAGCGTTTGTCGTGGCTGCCCCCTGTCTCTGAGATCAGCTCATACTTGAGGCCTCTCCTCTTCTCGTTCAGCTCCATCACCGGGTTCTTCCCGTGCTTCGTCAGAATTGGTCCCTGCTGCTTCACGTTCTGCAAGGGGAGAAACGTGGCTGAAACCCCCCCAAAAAAGACCCCAAACAGATCTTGATGGCGCTCCCGAAATGTAGAATTTGGATGAGATCTCAGGGAGAAGGTTGGAAGAGGTTTTTCCTGATGTTTTCTCCTCAAATCGTGGTGGGATGGGGATTGAACGCCACAAAACACCAGCAGAGCGACCCGTGGCTGTGAGGTGCTTCCACAACACCCCCAAAATGTCCCCCACCCCAACTCTTGAGCCCCTGCTCACCTCAGGAGTTTGATCTGCAGGAGGAGAAGCTGCAGTGGGTGTGGAGACAGTTTCCACCACGGGGGGAGGAGCCACCACCACAGGTTTCTGCTCTGTCTCCTCAGCAGACTCATCTCCTTTCCCAGATTCTTTGCCCTCCACTCCCGTGGGTAAACCCATATCTTGCAACACCTAAAAGGTGAAGAGTTGGGAAGGAAATGACTGACCAGTGCTGCCCAACCCATTTTGGGGAAATACTCAACAAGGCAGCTCAAGAATCTTCTTACTCATTGTTCTCAAGTGCTGGGCATTCCCCAAATGCCTCAGGGCTTCTGAAGTTCTCCACCCTGAGGCTTGGTGCCCAACCAGACTGCATGGGCATGTGTTTAACTCCTCCCTGCTCTGTCCTCATGGGTTTAGGAGCTGAAAAGGAGCCAAGGTGTTGCCCAGGTGGCCAAAAAGGTCACCAGCAGCTTGGCTTGGGGCAGCACTAGTGTGGTCAGCAGGAGCACAGGCAGGATTGTGCCCCTGGGGTGGGCACTGGGGAGGGCACAGCTTGGATCCTGGGGTCAGGTTTGGGGTCATCATGCCCAGAAGGAGATTCAGAGGCTGGGGCATGGCAAGAGAGGAGCAAAGAAGCTGCTGGGGAAGGGGCTGGAGAAGTTGTGGGGCCCTGGGGGGTCCAGCCTGGAGCAAAGGAGGCTCAGGGGAGACCTTCTGGCTCTGCCAACTCCCTGCCAGGAGCTTGGAGCCAGCTGGGAGAGGGGAGATCTCTTGTCCCCAAGCCATGGGAGGAGAGGAACTGTCCTCAAGTCACCCCAGGGGAGGTTGAGGTTGCCCCCGAGGAACCATTTCTACCCCTGGAGGGTTGCCCAGGGCAGTGGTGGAGCCCCCACCCCTGGAGGGGTCCCCAAGCCGTGGAGATGTGGGGTGAGGGACACGGGTTGGGGGTTCCTGGCCGTGCTGGGGGTAACATTTGCCCTCAGCTCTCACCTTCACAGCCACGTGCAGCTTCGCCGTCTTCTTGGAGGGTCCCGAGGCCTCGAAGGTGCTGCCATCGATCTCCACGGACATGGTGAAGATGGGAGCATGGACAGGACCAGTTTGAGAGACCAGTTTGTACTGGAGCCCTGGTTTGAGCTGGTTGAGCTTCATCAGGGCGTTCATGGCCTGGGGAGGTTCGAGTTTTTCTTCTGGATGGAGAGAGGGAAAAAAAAAACAACCACAACCAAGAGTTTGAAGAGGTTTAAAACACCTTTTTTTTTTTCAAACAAAACTCAAGCCACGTCCCAAGCTGCTTTTTTTGGGGGGGAGAGTTTAAATGATGGCAAATAAAAATCCCCCAGCGTTAGGATTGGGGTTTTTTTTTGGAGAAACACCTATTTGAAGAGTAAACCCCCTCAAGCTCCACTCCCTGCTGCCCGCCTCGGCCCGAGCACGGCTCTCAGGAGCCAATTTTGTACCTACCTCTCGTTAACTCAATACCTTTTTTCTGAATCTTCTTTTTCTTTTTGCTGGGGGATTTCTCTTCTCCATCCTCCTCCATGGGACGCTTCATGGGGGTGACAGCATACGTGGTGCTGGGAGGAATCTGGACTGTAAGGAGGATCAGAAAATAAAACCCCTCTCTCAGGATTCTGCTTTCCAGCATGGAAAAAAAAGCCTCAAAAATGGGATTGGAGTCAAGTTGTTGTATTTTTTTTGTATTTCCACCTACCAGTGTAGTCAATGGGGTTGTCGTTCTTTGGTTTCTTGGGCATTTTGGAAGGGAGGGGATCCATCCCCAAGATTTTGTGAAGCTGGCCAAAAGCAGCAAGTCTCAGAGCATGCTAGAAAGAGGAAATGTGTGTTACTGGGAGGCGGCGAGCGGCTCCACCAAGCTCCGTTTACCCTGCACGAGAACAATTCTACCCACCCCTACTCAGAAATCCTCCAGGGGTTTAAATAGGACTCTCTGAATTTTTTTTTTTGGAAGGTTCAACCCAAAAGATGGGTAACAAGTCACTATTTAAAACCTGCTACTTTTGCTTCTTGGGTGGGCCAAGCTACAAAATTCCTTCTCGGTGCCGGGACCCATTTGTTGGGGTTTTAGTGGACTGAGAGATTTAACAAAGTTAAACAGAGACCTCTGTGAGGTTTACTAGGCTACAATCAACCAATATGGGAGTTCAGAGTCAGTTGAAACTGATTTTTTTAAGTTTCCATAACATCTGTAGTCAAAACTATACCTGAGCACTCTGTGTGATATCTTCCCTTTGTTGTCTGTCTAGATGCCCAATAGCATCAGTGGCTTCTTTTTCACAAGGATCATAAATACCAGAACCATCTGAAGGCAGGAAACAAGGAAGATATGCAGAGAATTATCCTGGTGTTTTCTAAAGAGACTAAACTAAGTATTCCCTTGGCATCAAATCAACACTCGAGGAACAGCAGACTGACAGGAGCCAGGCAACGTCCCAACGTTCTGAAACTGGCCCTGGGCTCTTTGACATGGACAACAAGTGGTGAAGCTGGTTCACGACCACTCAGGGAACCAAGATTTTGTCTTCCCCTCGTGGAAATTGGCACCTCTCTCTCTCTACGAGGAGGGATTTAAGCTCATGGGTCCATAGCTTGGAACACAAACACAAGAGCACCCGTGGAGGCCCCGGGGGCCTTTTTTTGAGGTGCCCGCACACGTCGAACGAGGGTTGGTTTTTTTTTTCCCCTCAAAAAACAGCTAAAGAACCACACTTGGAAAACTTGAGCTTTGGGGTTGTTTTGGAATGGAAATGCAGAGAAGCACCTAACCTGGCATGACGATTCCAGAGGCCAGGCATTCCAGGACCCTCCTCAGCGCCTCCCCGGCGCCCATCGGCCTGTTCGCCGTCCCGATGGACTTCTCACACAGCAGCTCCAGAGGCTGGAAGAAAACCAAAGTTTGGGAAAGTGAGGGGAAGGTAAAAAATTGGGAATTTTAACAGTTTAGAAGCCACTGATGGGTAAAACATCAATGATTGGCAGCGTTGAAGGGGCAGCTCTGTGAGTTCGGCCAGGCGCGGATTCGAGCTCGAGGTCGGGTTTGGAGAAGAGGCAGCAAAACCCTCCCCAGACACACAAAAAAACCACAAAAAAAGGGAAAATTTACCCATCCTCTCAGCGGTGCCCAGGCAGAGACTCGAGTACAGAGATCTCGCAGCACTCGTATCACTATGACACAGGATTTCAGCCCGTTGGCCCTGGCCTGGAACAGAAGCAGAGGAGCCGTCAATAAAAACCATCCAAACTGGGTCGCTCGTAGATATTCAAGGTTTGGTTTCTTTTTGGTTGTTTTTTTTTCTTGGTTGTCTTTTTTTGTTTTGTTTTTTTTTGGTTGTTGTCTTTTTTTGGGTTTTTTTCCTCTTTGCAGTGCTACTTTGTCAAGGGTAAAGCTGCATTTCAACGTGACCCCTTTCACCAGCGGCGCGTCCGAAGGCGACGTTACTCTTAACACAAAGCAGCAGCCACGGGGTGGGGTGGGGGGGTTTAAATCATTCAAAAAAAAAAGGTTCCTCCTGAAAATTTCATCCTCTTTTCAGTGCCTCTTTTAACCCCTGGACCACCACAGGAGCTAAATTCAGCACGTCAAACCACCACGGGTTCAAACACCACTAAAAAAATCACGACTCATCAACGAACTTTTACGCTCGGCCCCTTTTTAACACTTTAATGGTTATGCTTTTTTTTTTTCTATTTAAAAAGACAAAATATAAAGAACAAAATGCAAACCTGGAACCACTTGGCGTGTCGGAGGGACGCCAAGGCAGCAAGGCATTTCTGCCTGTCCAGAACGTCCGGGGAGTCGGTGACTGAGAGCGTTTCTAGTCGTGGATGGAATAAGAAGACAAGGCACAGTTTGACCAAGGGGGGTTCTGTCAGGCGGAGAGGGGGATGAGGCAGCTTCCCCAACGGGCACAGCTGAGGCTCCCAAAAATGTAATCCTGTGAGCTGGAAGGGTTGGGGGGTGGGGTTTAAGAGATGCAGAGTGGGGACGTGGGGAAGGGAGCGGGGTGAAAAGGGGTTTAAAGAAGTCGAGGTGCGTTCCGGGAGGAGACGGGGCTGAAAGTCGTGGGGGGAGGATAGAAATCCTCCAGGATGGGAGGGAAGGTGGAGTGTGAGGCTGGTGCTGGGTGAAAGGGAAGGGGGAATTTGAACTCGAGCCCCTCTCTGTGTGTAGGGTGAGGGGAAGAGGAGGGAAGAGCTTTGGGAGGACTGAGGGAACCCCCTCCGCCCGGAAGGTTCGACTGCCCCGGCCCCGACCCGTTGACAGAGAGCGTCCTGTTGGTCAAAGGTCCAGCGTCCCTAAAAATGGACAAACTAGAAGGCTTGGGAGATGAAATCAGACATCAAAAAAATATATAAAACCATCAAACAAGTCAAAAGAGCACAAAAGATTCTTTTTTTGTTGGTTTTGTTTTGCTTTCCCCCCCCTCCAGTCTGTGCTGCAGCAAAATTGAAGCTCTGGTTTGGAAAGGAGTTTCTCCCGACCAGGGTTTTAGATAAGGCTAGTGCACCCAGAGAGCACAGGAGCCACCCCAAAAGGGCAACTCGTGGCCCCCCAAAGGGAATCAGAGAGGCAAGGGAGGAGCTAACTTTATCCAAAACTCTGCATCACCATTTGGAGCTGTTGAAACAGCTCCCCCCCCCTCCCCAAAACCAAAAAGAATCATCTAAAAATGGAGGAGACCCCCCGAGGACCCGTCAACTCTTGCTGCAACACACACCGGCCCTGGAACATCCAGTTGGAGGTGGGTACATGCAAAGTCATCTCACAAGAAAAGCCTTCGAGGTGGTTGGGTTTTGGGTTGGTTTGGTTTGGTTTTGGTTTTGAAAATGTAGCTGGTTGGATGTGTTTTTATGTCACCGTGCAGGCCTGGGTACGACACAAAGATACTACAACGAGATGAGGTATTAGTGAACTAAAGGCTCAAAGAAAAATCAATAAAAAAAGGATTAAAATAAAACAACAAAATCCCATCTGAAAGGTGCTGCTCAGTTTCAGAAGCTCCACCCCAAGAAGGATCTCACGAGGTTCCAAAGGAAACAGAATTGGGAATGTTGGCCCAGGAAAGAAAAGTCACCCTCGTGTTTGGAGCTGAAACTGAAGAGCACCCTCGAAGAGCGCCGGGGTTGTGGGTGTGCTGCCAAAGGTTTCAACCTCTCCCTACCTCCAGCTAACTGCTTCTCCAGCTCCTCTCTGACCACGGGAGAGGTCAAGTGGATGGTCAAGGTCAAGGGGGGCTCCTTGGTGTTCTTGATGACGATGGCGGCGTCGCCCACAGACTGGATGATTTCGTATTTGTCTTCGGTGATAGCCTGGAAGAGAATTTTAGCCCTCAGCCAGAGGCAAATTCAGCTCCTGGAGGGTTGGAGGTGTCCCTTTGTCAAGGTGTAGAAATGAAACTGCAGCTAATAAAGAGTTTATTGAATCCTCTTCTCAGCCACGTTGCTGGGGAATTGTTGTTTTTCTAAGAGGGTGGCAAAAGAAATGTCAGTTGTGGCTTTGAACTGTTGAAAGGTTGAGGTTTGAGGGTGTTTAAAGGTGAAGGATTTAGGGCACAAACCTTGTGAGGAGCAGCTTGGAGGAAAGGAGGCTCAGGGG